CCCCTATTTATACGGTAGACACTTTTAGGTGTGGTCTGACCAAGCAGTGCTACAGTACATGTTGCGTGTTGATCAACCATCGGGCCAATTTTCACGCTGGTAGGGAGTCCTCCAGGACTACTCCTTTAGAGTTACTTATCGCAAGGGCTCCTGTCACATGAACGCTGACACCCTTTTGCAATTGCCAACGAGCGATGGGTGTGCGTGCTTTTCGGGCTCGGGGCACTTGTGGCATCAGCCGAGGCTGTAACATCTGAGGCGGCCGGTGGTCTGGGGGTACGTGACGCTGTCATTGGGTTCGACCACGAGGTATGGGGGCGCCTCCAGGCCGAGGGCGCTTCCCTGCTTAAATTATGACGCTATGTCAGAGAAACTGATATGGGAGTGGATCAATGGGGTGTCGCCCCTGTCATTCTTAGAGTCAGCTTACTCATGCATTGGGACGGAGGGTTGTGCCGTTATAACATTGTTGTGCCCTCTGCCCTAGGAGGCAGGATTGTTTGGGTTGTGCACGAGCGCCTCTTGCACCTGGGTGTGCAGCAGATGCTGGCCACACTCAATTTAGACTTCTTCTGACCTGGTATGGCTGAAGATGTCGCTAATTTGCTCAAAGAATGTGTGCAGTGTGCGCGACGGAAGCCACCAGCGAAACCTTGTTGTTCACCGTTGCAATCGATCCAGGTTTTCCGTGTAAATGAACAATTGCCCTGGACATCCTTGGTCCATTCCCTACTACCCCTCGTGGGAAAAAGTATTTGCTGGTGGGAGTCGAGTATTTTTCACAATGGTCTGTGGCCTGGCCGCTCCCAAACCAGTTGGCAGCCAGGATCACTGAGGCATTCCTCAATGGTCATGTAATGGACAAGGGTGCTCCCGAACGTCTTTTGACCGATCAGGGCTAAATGTTTTCTTAGAAATTGTTGCGTGAGGTCTGCGATTGTTGGGAATAAAAAAGGTACGCATGTCACTGTACCACCCGCAGATGGATGGCATGGTTGAGCGGCTGCACAGGACTCTGACCTCCATGTTAAGCCATCAAGTCAGTGAGTCCCAACTCGATTCCCGGAGTCCTAGCTGCATATGGGATGGCCCCTCATGCATCCACCGGCTACTCACCGTTGTTTCATATATGGAAGTGAACACGATCCCTCGATTTATGTGCAGTTACAAGCCATGCCCAAAAAGGTTAAATCTAAAATTTCTGACGCTGTGCAATTCACCCTTCAAAAGCTTTCCAAGGCACGGGAAGCTTAAAGGGTAAATTCCAATTCTTGCCAATTGGCCAATGAGCAGCTGAGGGGTGTCCGTGCTTCTACACATTAGTGGGTAATGGGGGACAGGGCCTGGTTGTACTGTCCACAATTATTGGTGGGTACGACGCCCAAATTGTTCAAACCCTGGAGAGGGCCGATTGATGTGATTCGGATCGTTCGGCCACAGTGTGTCCAGATCAGTTTGGGGTGGCGGAGTTGGTTTGTTCATCCCTCTTGCCTTAAGCCATTCATTGCTCTGCGCGAGTTTGTACCATCTCCACACCCCAGGGGCCGAGTGTCAGATGCGTCCGGCGAGCTGGGGTGTGTGCCCGCTGAGGTTGGTCCTCAGCGGAGTGATCTGATTCTGTCCTCAGGTGCCGCGCACTTGACGTCCCACGAGCCACCACCTGCGCCATCTCCACTAGATTCAGGAGAGGAGAACCCCTCAACCCAGCCTACTGCTCTCTGTGAGGAGCTGGGTTCGACGGTACATTTGCATATTCCCCCCGGGACCTCCAGGGTGAGCAAGCCCACCTCCCCTGGAGCCCGGCCACAAGGACTCGATCATAGACTCGGTTTTCGTGATCCACATGCACACACACTCCCACACCGTCATTTGGTTGTCGCATTCAGTAGGCCGTATCGGCTATTGGCTGAACCTACCTTTATTGTGCTTACGGGTGTTTTTACATGTTGACGGTGGAAGATGTTGGTGTTGGAGGGGATTCCGAGAGATAGCGTGTTACTGTTTTTCTCTCGTGTTGTTGTTCTGTGCTTGCGTTTTTTTACCTCTTTTCTTCTCTCCCCTACTAGTTATGTACATTTGTAAAATAGTGTATATATTGTATAGGTGGGCTTGGGTATTTAATTGGTGATTGTTATTGTTGAGGCACACATAGCGTTTCTACACTCTTTTACTCACTTTTTATCACCTTACTCACTTGGTTTGTTTAAACGGGGGAGTTGTCAGCCGGGACGGCTGGATGCTACGAAGGGGAGGGGTGATGTTGTGACATCGCGCAAGTCACTGTGTGGTGCTGGCTCTAGAGAGGCATGGCATTCTCACATCACAGACATCACGTATGTAGCAACATCATGGATGTCACTGGGTAATGCCGGCTCTAGTGAAGCACGGCATGCGATGCATTGCCATCGTGGACACCCCGTATATATGTGGGTGTAGTACCAGCCCTAGAGTGACAGCGCTGAATGACACCACGCTCTGCGTGTAATGCTGACCCCTACAGGGTAGGATGTGAGAGTGCAGGCCACGGAAACGAGGTTACTGTGGGCCATGGCACTCTGGTTGACTCCGAAGGACACGTGACGAGTAAAGGTTACACAGGGCCCCGGGTGGGGGCTAGGAGGTGGTCACGTGTCGGGGGAAAGATCCTACGGGAAGGATTGAGAAACCCCAAGAGGTTTCTCGAAGGTGGTCGTGGCCAGGGGTGGAGCCAGCCATCACCCGGGAGCATATAAACCGGGGTCCCCACAGGGACCGAAGTTCAGTATTGCTACCGTCATCTGAAGATCTACGTTTTACGTCCAAGAAGAAGTCACTAAAGCATGGTCCGGGACCCAAGCCGGGGTTGGGTCGGTTATAGCTAACTCCCAGTGTGTTTAGTGTAGTTTAGCCTGGTCCACCACCATAGGCTGGTATCTAGTAATGGGGCAGTTACCCCTTGTGTTAATGTGTTGGTACAAATAAATGTGTTGCCTCCAAGAAGTGCGTCTGCGACTCAGTTCAATCAACTAAAGACGTGTAAGGCCCAAACTAATAATGCAGTTTTTCTGGGAACGTCTGGCGGAAGACCCAGTGCAGTAATATTTCAACTTCCACCTCTAAGAAAAAAATTCCTGCACTCCAAAGATCCAAAGAAGGTGATGGATTTTAAGTCTGAGTGGACGAAAAGCTGTTGTTGGAAGGCAGCTAGTGCCTGTGAAAGTGAGAAACCTAGGTCCCTCTGGTGGACACCAGTGGTGAGGGACGCTGTCAAATTGAATAAGGAGGATTTTTCCTAGCTATGCTCAGAAAAAGGTCTCCCGACTCGATTGAGAGGTAACTGCTTGCCAAGAGGGTGGCAGCGATAGCAATCGCTGAAGCGAAAGCCCGGGCATGGGAGGCACTTGGAGAGGCCATGGAAAAGACTACCAGCTCAGGCTGTTTTCAGTAACATTTAACTCAACTAAGGAGATAGTCGAGAGGTGGAAGGAACACTTTGAGGAGCTCCTCAACCCGGTGGACATGCCCTCCTCTCAGAAGGCAACCCTGAAAACAGCTGGGGGGATTAGATCCATCATCGCTGGAGAATATCCAGTATGGGGGCATGGAGGTGGCATCGCTGCTTTTTGCAGACAACGTTGTCCTCTTTTCCTCATCAGTCCAGATTTTACTTTAACTTTTTGATGCCGAGTGTCAAGCAGCTGGGATGAGGATCAGTGCCACCAAATCTTAGGTCATGGCTCACTCCTAGAAGATGTTGAATTGTTCTCTCCCGGTGAGGGGGGAAAATATGCCCTTAGTGGAAGAGTTCAAGTACCTCGGGGTTTTTTCCCCAAGTGATGGTAAGCGGGAGCAGGAGATCTGCCGGCGGATCAGTGTGGCGTTTGCAGTGTTGCAGGCACTGTACCATTCCGTGGTATTGAAGCGGTAGGTGAGTTCTAGAACAAAGCTCTCGGTTTACAGGTCGATATACGTTCCCTCATAATGACTGAAAGGATGAGATCCCGGGTACAAGTGACCGAAATGTGGTTTCTCTGCAGGGTTGCCGGGCTCACGTTCCGTGATTGGGTGAGGAGCTCGGTAATCCGGGAAAGCCTCAGAGTGGGGCCGCTGCTCATCCGGATCGAGAGGAGCCAGTTAAGGTGGTTTCGGCACCTGGTAAAAATGCCCACCAGGATACTGCTCCTGGAACTGTCATGGGAACGTTCCACTGGGCGAAGACTCCAGGGCTGACCCAGGACACGCTGGCGGGACTATGTCACTCGGCTGGCCTGGGAACACCTGGGAATTCCCCCAGGAAGTGCTAGAGTCTGTCACCAGGGAAAGGGAGGTCTGGACCGCGCTACTCAACATTCTGCCGCAGCGACCCTCACCAGGACAAGTGGATTGAAAAACGAACGAACTCATGCATGCGACAATGCAAACTGGCTCATATTAATATCGTTGAAGACATATCAAAAGTAGACTCAATTATTTAATTATCTGAACCATTAAAATGTACTACATGAAAAGAGTTAAACACTAATACATCATGATTCGTGCATATTCAATTTAGAACGTTTTAAATACTAATTGGCTCTACCTTGTGTCATGAGAGCAAAAGTGTTTTCTGAATTCCGTGTATTTTCTTTAAGTTTCTTCTCTTGTGTTTATTGTAGCATTTAACAGCCAGGTTTCCCGTCGTATTTTATCGTCATCTTCACTCGTTTCATTTCTAGTTTCTTATTCAATACAATCGCTGCTCCCTACTGCGTTATTTTATATCACCCATGGCAAGTAATTCGAGTTATCCTGCTAAATTATGTGCAGTCTCACGAGATATCAACTTTTTTACTTAAAACGTTGCATTAAAAAAAAACATTTCAATCACCCATAACCTTAATAATGCAATATCTTTAACAGTTATTACACACTGACTCAAGCCCAACAAAGTTCACTTGAATATATAGAGTTGTCTTCACAGCGAGAGTCAAAGACTCCACGCAGGGTGTAAATCAAAGGGTCACAGAGCTCACGCGTGGTACCTGCACGTCCTTGCGAGCGACCTCCATCCGTTCCACGGACGCCTCCGCCTCCAGCCTCCCCTCCTCCACCGCTCGCATCTCCTCACTGACTCCAGTCTGCAAGAGACAAAGTCATCAGAGGAGACTCCACTCCATCTGGAGCCCTCCACAATGACTACTCTGAATTTCCCGCCAGAAGCGTGGTCAGGAAGTCAGCCTGGACTGATGAGAAAAAGTCTAAAAGGCAAGGGGCCTGTGGACAGAGAATCAACCCACGTTGATGTTTGTTGTATGAGATGTTTATATTATTCCCAGGTGACAGTTTTTATCAGCTCATGTAGAGGTATCAAAATCAGTATATGTATTTATACTGGAGGAATCTGATGAGCTATAAAGCTCTTTTTCACAAATGTCCAGTAGGGGTGGGTAAGAACGTTAAAACAACAAACTATACAAAAAACAGATAGTAGTGCAAAGTACAAGAAAGGTAAACAAATCACCCAATAACATACAACTAAGCCAAACCCATCATATCAGGCAAAACCCACCGAGGTATCAATTTATTTTTCAGAAGCGACCTGGCCACAAATGATAACTCAACAAAGCGGCTTATCATGTGGAAATGTATAGCAGCCGAATAATCTCAATGCATGTATTTTTGTGCACCTCAGTGGTTCTCACTATCGGCATTCGGGCTTTACCTTCCGTGTCTGATGCTGGTCCTCCAGCGTGTCGACATCATGTCCTCTGTGTTCTCCAGTGATGGCACAGACTGTGCACACGAGGCTCACGTCTTGCTTGCAGTAGAACTTGAGCTCCTCTTTGTGCCTCTTGCACTTGCGTTCTTCAGGTTTCACATCTGGTGAAACCAGGACGTGATCATTAAACTTCATCTTCTCCAGGTGAGGCGTGAGGTGCTCTGTGCAGAAAGACGTGTCACACTTGAGGCAAGTCTTCACTGCAGGCGTCTTTCCTTCTGAGCAATGATCACAGAAAACAACACCAGCAGCAACAGCAGCAGCCATGGCCTCAGTCACTCGCAGCTGCTCTATGAGGTTGGCGATCGTCACGTTCCTGGTCAGCTGGGGTCGTCGAGGGAAGGTCTTGCGGCACTGCGGGCAGCAGTAGGAGTCTGTCTCCTTCCAGGCGTCCTCCAGGCACTGGAGGCAGAACGAGTGGCCGCAGCTCAGCGTGGAGGGGCAGTCAAACGTGTCCAGGCAGATGGAGCAGATCAACTCACGGTCCACGTTCTCAGATGGAGCTGCGCTCGCCATGACCCGAGGATGCAACCAAAATAGCTCCTCACTGTGCCTCAGAGAATATATTTCAACAAAAATACTTTTTGTTTATAATATCGTGAGATGTTGATTACCATTGACGACGTGTGTTCTGTTCAGGAGACGCTGTGTGAGCAGCTCACACAGAGGAGACGAGCAAGGAAATGAACTTGACTTCACCTTCAGGTAAGGAAAAAATACCTCGAGACACGCCCTGGAATGTTCCACACGGCGGCTGGGCTCACCTGTGTAGACATGGGTTTACAGTCACGCACTGTGTTAGCTAAAATTATTTTTGTGTTTAGTTTGTTGTTCTTCCCCTGCACTTCTGATTAGCACGGTTAGCTACGTACGGTGTGGAAGAAGTTCAACACACATAGCTTTTAATGGTCTCAAGTGCAATCATATTGTACAAAAAAAACAAGCAGTAGCAGCAGCTTTGGACACAGCGATGATGGTTTGTCCCACAGGCTCATTGACCCGCTAGAGTCAGGTTGTGTGCATTGCCACAGTGGAACCGCATATTGTACAAACATTCAGATTTAAATGTAAACTTTTTTTCCATCTGTGTCTTTATCCATTTTTTTCTTGCAAGGCATGTTTGTTTAAGCTTCGCAATCTGTAATCGTCTTCCACCTTTACCAGCTAATATTTAACTACTGGCTTTATGCGTCCTCTGTTAATCTGCCCAATATGTTTTTGTTTTTTATTCCTACGACACCGTTTTATTCTGGGTGGACGGTGGTTGTATGTATGTTGAACTTCTTTCACACCGTACGTAGTCAACTGTGCTAATCGGAGGTGTGTGGGTGAATAGGTGAGTGTGTAGATGGGTGAGTGGGTTAATGTGTGGATGAGTGGTTGGGCGAGTGGGTGTGTGGGTGAGTGGGTGAGTATGAATGTTGAACTTATTTCGCAGCGTACGTAGCCACTCGTGCTAATCAAAGGTGCGAGTGAGTGGGTGGTGGTGGTTGAGTGAGTGGGGGGGTCATTTGGTGAGAGGGGAGACAGATGGGCAGGATGATGGCTTGATGGGTGGGCGAGCAGGCGGTGAGGGAGGGAGAAAGGGTGGCCTGGAGGGCGTGCGGTTGAGTGGTTGGGTCTTCGGGTGGATGGTCTCACACATTACCACAGCGAACAGCCCCTGGCTTAACAAACATCATATTTTGTTTAAACTTATTATCGATATGACTTTCACTGTACATTTTCCTATTATTCGTAAAAAAATAGAGGTTTTAAAAATTTGCAACCTAACAAACATATATTCATCACCTATTGTTAATGTTAATATTTTACCACCTGGACTCGCTGAGTTTGGCCGATTCTATAAAAAAAACTTTTTATTTTGCCAGGTAAGGCCCCCTGAGGTATGTTGCTCTTTTCAGAAGCGACCTAGCCACAAATGATAGCTCAGCGACGTGGCTTATTACGTGGGCAGTTCTCGCAGCCAAACACTCTAAAAGCACGTTTCTAAGTGTGGAGGGAAACATAGGAGGACCCGGAGACAAATTCGCACGACCACGGGGAGAGAGACATGCAAACTCCAAGTGCATGTACAGTCGTCAGGGTCGGAATCAAACCCACGGCCTTCTGTATACCAGGCGAGGTAGTTAACATCTCCTAGCCAACACGGCAAGATTAATTTAAAAAATCAGAGCAGCGACAACGAACAAGGAAACGAACTGACTTCACCTGTAGCTAAAGTATAAACATGAGACGCGCTCTGGAATGTTGCACGCGGCAGCCCGTACTCACCTGTGTAGACGTGGCGTCACATTCACACACACAGTGTCAAGGTTAAAGAGTCGCAATTGATATATTTTTGCAAAAACCCCACAATAAACATGAAAACAGTGATGGTTTGTCTTACAGACTGGTTACACCGGATTGGGTGAGGCTTGGGTTTTCACTGTAAACCGCACCGTGTAAATTCTTATTTAAGCTTTAAAATTATAAGTAGGCTTTCGCGACCACTATTATTCATTAAATGTGTTTTTGGGTTAGATCGCGTAAATATAAAAGTGTCGTTAAACTCGCCACCACCCGACACAACCAATGAGTGACTCTGTGCGTTTTGCCCAGCAAACCACACAGCTGTTAATTCGTATTCAAGGTTCACAAAAAAAACGATTCCCATAAACCGTAAGTAAAACAGAAACCAAACAACTCAATATTTCAAGAGCCGCAATGCAACGTGGTGCGAGTACGAGAGACGGTGGTGGTGATCCTTGATAAACAAGAACGTGGTGTGAGTACTAGACACAGTGGTGGTGGTCCTTCATATATAAAAACGTGGTGAGTACGAGAGACGCCGCTCTGGAGCCACAGGTTGCCGACCCTGTGCCCTGAACCAATTGGCGTGACCGTCAAGTAATAATAATCTCATTATTATGTAATTGGAAATGGATAATAATAAAATAATGGTTGAGCAATTTTTTACGTATTACTAACTTAATTATAATTAAATAACGGTTTAATACTGATACCTAAATAATAATTAAATATTAAATTACTGTTTGTGCTATAATACTTTGACGCTAATAATGGTATTTTAATAATTAAATTATATTTTCTACTGATTACATAATCATTCAGTAATGGTAATATAATAATAATTAACATTTACAAAGCGCCCTTAAACAATCGCTCTCGGGGTGCTATGCATGGTAATGCAGAAAATAGTGAACATCACCCAAGGAAAGAAGTGAGAAGGAGATTTGAACATCACTAAAGGGAGAAAGCCATTTTAAACAGAGACAGCTTTAGTGGAGATGTGAAGATGAGCAGTGTCTCGGAAGTCCCCTTGACCTCGAAGGGCAACGAGTTCCAGAGTTTAGGTGCCGCGATTGCCAAGGCACCGTCACCCCCCACGTGTGTAGCCTGGAGACCGTGGCACGGTGAGCAATGCACAAGCTGAGGATCTTGACGATCTTGATGGAATATTCGTGGCTGAAGGAGGTAGGAAGGAGCAAGTCCATTTAATGCGAGGGCGAGTCGGTTGGCGCTGCCTTTTTCTCGTTTGTGTCATTGCCTCTTCCTTCTGCGAGGATCTGTGTTTACACTTTGCAGTTATTTCTTGGTCTCATTCTCTCCTTCTGAAAATCTGCGAAACGGGTTTATTCCTGGGGGAGATGTCCCTGGTGCATGACAGCAGGTGCGTGGTGTGTGTGGATGGTAAGTAGTGTGTGTGGATGGTGGGTAGTGTTTGTGTGAATGGTGAGTAGTGTGTGTGGATGGTGAGTAATGTGTGGATGGTGAGTAGTGTGTGGATGGTGAGTAGTGTATAGATGGTGAGTAGTGTGTAGATGGATGGTGAGTGGTGAGTAGTGTGTGTGGATATGGGGTGGTGCGTAGTGTGTGTAGATATTGGATGGTGAGTAGTGTGTGGATGGTGAGTAGTGTGTGTATATCAGATGCTGAGTAGTGTGGATATGGGGTGGTGAATAGTGTGTAGATAGTGAGTCATGAATATGTTTAATCAAGGCTCACAGACAAGAAACGTGGATGTTAACTTACTTTACACGGGGTTACAAACCTCACGAGGCACCCCATGGAATGTGCTCAGATGTTTAAGGAAAGTAAAAAAAAGCCCCGCATCACACAAACCTGTCTAGATGTACCTGTAGATTCGCGCCGTTGGCTTTAACCAGTGCCAACAATGGACTTTGTAAGCACATGATCACAATCGTAAAAATAACACATCCTGATATGCGGGCTTTCGATTCCAAGCAGTCGCCTGTGATTAAACGCGGTTCTCCGGTGAAACGAGTTGATGGTTTAAGCCCCATTACCAATGCCAGGCATGAACACAAACGCATACAGAGTTTGTCCAAAGTCCATCTGTGAGCATTGTAGAGTCGTGCTTTGACCGCCGTGCGTCGAACATTGATGTTAATTTGGCATCTTTGGACTGACGTACATCAAAATCGGAATATTTATACTGTAGGAGAAATGCGATAACCTGTAACGCTCTATAAAACAGATGTCCAGTAGGGGCACGGGGGAAGAACATTACAACAACAAACAGTACACAAATATGATAGTAGTGCAAGTGCAAGTACAAGGAAGTTAAGAAATCACCATAACACATCTACAGTATAAGTTAGTAGTTCCGTGCGTCTGTTTACATTCCGAGATTGCAAGAAAGTGCCAGCTTTATAAACCGTTTTTTTCGGAATCCAGCGATTTATTCGACATGGCTCCATGTTACCAGTGGTGTGACAAACGGCGTACGAATATACACAATGTTGATACACAGCTGCTTTTGTTGCACAACATTGATGGTTGACACGTCACCGATGTCTCTTTTATTTCACTATGTACGATTTATCACCGGTGTGACTTTTCTTTGACGACAGACACTTCTGATTATTTTATCAAAATACCCTCACCATTTACTGCAAAAAAGCTCAGATATAGCACATGGTGTGGATATGCATAGCTGTCAACCCCTTATTACAGACCAATTCAGACCTTATTGGTCACCCCGTGCCCTTATAAATCTCAACGTTCATCCTACAAAGTCCAATCACAAGGGAGAAACACAAACAAATAGACGAAAATATATCTTTAGTCAAGAATACGGGTAAACCGTATGGGTTGACAGTCATGGGTATGAAACAATATTACACATCACACTATACAGCACACTTTGCACTGTATACAACTAATCTATAGTACGCGGTGAGAGTATGAAACGCACACGTGTACTATATCTGAGCTGTACACAGTAGGTAGTGTGATGTGTAATGTTATGGACAACCTCATCGCTTTGGTCCAGGTTACGGGCCCCCCCAGCTCGCGCTCGGCCTACCTGTACGTTTTCACGTGTGTGTTTAACTGTTGTGGTTCTTTGTTATTTAATAGATGGCAGTTCTGCTGTGTATTCTACTGCTGTCCCTCCCGGCCATATCTAGTGCCAATCACAACTCCACCACTGGCAGCCCACAGGTGCCGGAGGACGGGGAGAGCCGCTGGAGTGGAGGAGGAGACCGCCGCAGGAGCTACAGAGGACGGATCCACCCGCCCCGAGGCCAGCCACCAGGTCCGGACAGATCCCCCGGACCCCGCAACGTTTCCTCGTGGGCGCGGCCCAAGCGAGGTGCTCCAGTCAACCCGGGACAGGGACTGGCATCTCGGGGGGCTA